GGGGGGGGGGGGTGTTAGGGTGGGGTTCAGATCAATGTCTGCCTTAAATAAATCAATTTTCTCAAAACGCCTTTACCAAAAGTGTGAACACATTAATCAGCTTTTCACTGACCTAGAAATGAGTTATTTTATTTCAATGACTTAAAACTCAGCTTGAGGAGTTTAAAGTCAGGAATCTGAATTGATCATCAATAAATAATATGAATGATATGGCTCACTGAAACAAACTTTAAATCTCCGAGAAAAGTGTCACTTTAAAATTAAAGATTGGTGAAAAAAACTGAACTACACCACCCACTGGATACATGGACCTCTAGACATGTTGACAACTCTGACACACGCATAAACCTAGCTGATATAAATACACACAAGTTTAAAATACAGAGACTTTCAGCTGTTGCAATAACTGTACACAACCATAAAAAGCTTTACACATGTTCAAACATCCTGACTGTAACAGACTTGCTTAGCCAGTAGACATCAGCTGGTATCTGATATCATAAATTTAAGAATTAAAGATGTGCTCAAACTAGGGTTGTAAACTTAGACCAGCAGGACACATGTCAAATCATGTCATGAAAAGTCCTATGCAATAGATAAAAACTACTTCTTTAGTTTCTACCAGGGAAACGTAAGTAATGACAAGCATGCTTTAGGTTTGTCTGTTATCAGCTATCAGTGTTCAAGATAATGGTGACCTTTGAACTTACTATACAATCTGGGTGACATCAAACTAATATTGGTACAGAACACAGTAATAAGTCCTCAGAGTTCAAACATTGTGATTGGTTTAGTCACCACCATATGAGCAATGAAGGAGAGGAAAATGTAATCATCAATGCTGGTGAAATAATGGCCTGGACAATGTAACATGGATGGCTTCCATCTATTAATTAATGGAGAGTTGGCAGACTTAACACATTCATCAATGCAATGTAAGGTTACAAATAGTTGGCAGAATTAACACATTCATCAATGCAATGTAATGTCATATAAGGGTCAAGTAATTAATAAACAAAGCAAGCGACAATGAAGTAACAAACGCTACATATAGAACATGTCTATCAACCTCACAGTACAGTATACAGCCCTATAACATGTAAATCAAACTCCTGGTACAGCATACAGCCCTATAACATGTCTTTCAACCTCACAGTACAGCATAAAGCCTTATAACATGTCTATCAAACTCCAAGTACAGCATACAGCCCTATAATATGTATATCAAACTCATGGTACAGCAATGAAGCCCTATAGCATGTCTATCAAACTCCTGGTACAGCATGAAGCCCTATAACATGTCTATCAAACTCCTGGTACAGCATAAAGCTCTATAACATGCCTATCAAACTCCTGGTACAGCATAAAAACGTATGTCCTTTGAAAGCCTAGAACAACATGCCACACTAAAACACGCCCATTAAATTCCTGGTACACACACATCAGTATTTAACCTTCTTAGACTTCTGTTAACTTAACATTTCAAGACCTGAAGACAGTTCAACATCTGGTGGGGATTTAGAGCTTGGTTTTTAACATCAATATCTTTTGTTCTCCCCTACACCAACAAATATGCATCAAATTATTGATTATTCTAATCATTTTGGAAAAGAGAGAAGCATTCTTAGACATGAATCTAGTCATTAAAATAGATTAGTTCAAATGAACCATAGCGTATCCATACATTACGTTTTAACTTATAACATAATTACAACACACTAAGAATGACACATAATGATAGTTGGACACTATGCAGTGAAGTCAAAGGAAATAGGGACCCTCAACAAAGCCTGCCTTAATCAATAATATTTTAAAATAATGACACAGTCTTCTTTGTAAGTAATGAATGAAACATGATGTACAAGATAAATAATGGGCTGGTCCACTGTTCCAGTATTAAACAGAAACTCGTCCCTCTCCCCAATAGACAGCGACGAGGCCATGACAGGCAATTCAGGCTCATGCCAGCAAGAAGCCAGTATAGGAGCTGCTCATTCCTGCCCAAGACAATCAGGGACTGGAACAATCTTTCAAAAGGAACGGTTGAGGCGACAACACTAGACACATTTGTGTCTATTGCCTCAAGCCTTCAAACCCCCAGTGCATGATTCCCTCACAAAGTGGCACTGGAAATCTGTGAAATTTCCTCATCAACAACAGGAACAGAAACATTGCAAATCCCATCTACATGCATAGGAGCCAAAATGATCAATAAATTGATCGTGGGCCCTTAAGATATAGAAGAAGAAGAAACTGTATGAGAAACTGACTTTGCTTAAATGTTCAGGAAAATATGGAACAATGAACTTAACAAAAAGTTTTATTTACTCAAATAATCTTCTTCAATTTTTGGTACCGGTACTCGAGCTGGCAAGAAAATAAATATACCAGTAGTTCAATTGTTTGAATGCCAAACTATTACTTAAATATGCCGGTAGTTCAACTGTTTGAATGCTA